TACTAGTAAGGCACTTGTTACTACTAGCGTGGCACTTGCTACTAGTAACAAGGTTCGCTACGAACGGAACTTGAAATCAGACCGGAGTGATGAGACCCAACCCACGACCTTCGAAGGAGGACTCTTGGAGAACTTGCCCTCACTTACAGAGTTCGACACCAGACAACAACTCCGTTATTTTGTTTGATTGGACTTTCCTCTTTCCATCCGCAAGAGTGCGTGAAAAATGCACCGGAACCAGTGGCTTCAGAACTTCCGCACAAAGCGCACTTCTCCCAATCCCGCTCGCTGCCAGCCTCAGGTTCGAGTTCTCGGTCAACGGCAAAACCACGGGCCCCAAAGTGTGCTTGGGACGACGCTACCTAGGCGCGCCCCTTCACGTTCCGCGCGTAGCAAAGGTGACGATGCTTCGATCAAACAACAGCTATATACCCCACCAGGGTCGATGCTTCGTGCGGTGGTACGACAAAAGAGCGCCAGTGTGGCGCTTGGGGTAGTGGGCTGGTTACTGCGGTATGTGGGAATGAGTCAAAACCTGGAGCCCCAACACCATGTAGCTCGACCTTCAGGTAGGAGCAAGGTATCCTGGTTTTGACCCGCCAGTTGGCCGTTCCTCGGGGATGGGTGGAAAGCGCGCTGGTGAGTGCGTCACCATGGGACGTTGCGGTGCCAGGCGATTACATCAAGCCTTTTGAGGATGATGGAAATGCGTCCCGGGTAGTGGTGTCAATGAATGAGACTTGGCAAGGTTTAGCCTGCTACGTCCTGCACGGGCGAAAATCGCCACCTGTGCTGCTGGGTGGTCAGACAACGCGTGTCGATGTCTTGTTTCTAGCTTGCCGCATCCAGGTATCCGTGGTAAGCATGGCCAGGCTGTTCTCGGGTCAACCTGAACTTGGTTGGAAACTGATCAAGTCAGAACGCGGAGGATGTGTCCTTCGTATGGTGAAGCCGGACAATTCGTGAACATGTCCATTCTCAGCTGTGATTCCGTGGGCATCTTCATTTTATTGAGTGTTACTCGTACCAGTGGGTGTCCATGCTGAAGTCGGCAAACTGAGGTGCTGGAAATCATTCAGGGCCGCTAAATGGCGAAGACGGCGCTTGCCACCGTACAGTATGGTCTTTAGTTGCTCAGGCGATGCAGAGAAACAGCGACGTCGAAGAGAGATTGCTATAATGTTGGATCTTGATTAGTAAAAGGCCCCCCCCTCAAACAAATGGGAGATCCTCTATAATAAACTACCACCAAAACAAATCTGGGTTCCTGTGAGGATTCCTTTTTGTAATTGATTGTAGTATTGATTTTCCTTTCAAACATTCATTGTCATTAGGTATTCGTTGCAATCCTTTCATACTACTATATAAAGGATTGATTAAGGAATTGACGGCTTTGGAAAGCTGTGAGGCTTAGTTTTGAAGAATAATTTGAGAAACCTATACTTATCAATACGCTCAGCAAGCCAACCATTGGCTTAGTAGTATTAAGAATTACGATTTTATGTGTCTTCAGGAAAAAGCGTTGCACAATTGAGGACCCTTAAAACAAATTCATTATTGATGATCACGGGCCTTCCTGGTCTACTACCTTGAAAATTTGTTTAGGAGCAATCTGTTCATAAAGGATTGATTAGGGAATTGATGGTTTTGGGAAGCTGTCAGTTTTGAAGAAGAACTATAGAAACCTATACTGATCAATACTCTCAGCAAGCCAACCATTGGCTTAGTAGTAAGAATTAATATGTCGACCTTTCTAACGGAAATATACTTACAGCAACCCTAAATATTTTCAGATAATAAAAGATAGGATCCCCCAAACAAATAACATAATAGAGGACCCTTAAAACAAACAGGGTGTCACTATTATTTTTCAATCATTTAGCATTATAGAGGGCCCTATTGCTAATCAGCGTCCAACATTAGGGAGCCTTAGAGAGAGGGTTGCAATATGTTGGAATCCTGGTGGCATTGATGAACGCAGTATAAAGCAGCAATATATAGTAATATTGTCAAGACTGGACAACAAATCTGAAGAGCTTTTGAATAGGCCGCCATATGCGGTTGCGAAATTTGTGAGGTTTATTTCTCGCCTTCCTTGAACGCATAAATGATACCACTGAGTAATATTGAAAACCATCGAAAAACCCGATCAATTTACATTCCTTTGCTGAGGGACATGGTCAACGTACTGACAGATGACACACCACCCGCAGGCTCTTTGACGAAATGCAACGAACAAATCTATTTGTATATGTATGGGTCTACATTCAGATAGTGAGAGAGTGAGATGGGGGAAGCTGTGAGGCTTAGTTTTGAAGAATAATTTGAGAAACCTATACTTATCAATACGCTCAGCAAGCCAACCATTGGCTTAGTAGTATTAAGAATTACGGTTTTTATGTTTTTTCAGGAAAAACGCGTTGCACAATTGAGGACCCTTAAAACAAATTCATTATTGATGATCACGGGCCTTCCTGGTCTACTACCTTGAAAATTTGTTTAGGAGCAATCTGTTCATAAAGGATTGATTAGGGAATTGATGGTTTTGGGAAGCTGTCAGTTTTGAAGAAGAACTATAGAAACCTATACTGATCAATACTCTCAGCAAGCCAACATTGGCTTAGTAGTAAGAATTAATATGTCGACCTTTCTAACGGAAATATACTTACAGTAACCCTAAATATTTTCAGATAATGAAAGATAGGATCCTCCAAACAAATAACATAATAGAGGACCCTTAAAACAAACAAGGTGTCAATATTATTTTTCAATCATTTAGCATTATAGAGGGCCCTATTGCTAATCAGCGTCCAACATTAGGGAGCCTTAGGGAGAGGGTTGCAATATGTTGGAATCCTGGTGGCATTGATGAACGCAGTATAAAGCAGCAATATATAGTAATATTGTCAAGACTGGACAACAAATCTGAAGAGCTTTTGAATAGGCCGCCATATGCCGTTGCGAAATTTGTGAGGTTTATGTCTCGCCTTCCTTGAACGCATAAATGATACCACTGAGTAATATTGAAAACCATCGAAAAACCCGATCAATTTACATTCCTTTGCTGAGGGACATGGTCAACGTACTGACAGATGACACACCACCCGCAGGCTCTTTGACGAAATGCGACGAACAAATCTATTTGTATATGTATGGGTCTACATTCAGATAGTGAGAGAGTGAGATGGGGGAAGCTGTGAGGCTTAGTTTTGAAGAATAATTTGAGACACCTATACTTATCAATACGCTCAGCAAGCCAACCATTGGCTTAGTAGTATTAAGAACTACGGTTTTTATGTTTCTTCAGGAAAAAGCGTTGCACAATTAAGGACCCTTAGAACAAATTCATTATTGATGATCACGGGCCTTCCTGGTCTACTACCTTGAAAATTTGTTTAGGAGCAATCTGTTCATAATGGATTGATTAGGGAATTGATGGTTTTGGGAAGCTGTCAGTTTCGAAGAAGAACTATAGAAACCTATACTGATCAATACTCTCAGCAAGCCAACCATTGGCTTAGTAGTAAGAATTAATATGTCGACCTTTCTAACGGAAATATACTTACAGTAACCCTAAATATTTTCAGATAATAAAAGATAGGATCCCCCAAACAAATAACACAATAGAGGTCCCTTAAAACAAACACGGTGTCAATATTATTGTTCAATCATTTTGCATTATAGAGGGCCCTATTGCTAATCAGCGTCCAACATTAGGGAGCCTTAGGGAGAGGGTTGCAATATGTTGGAATCCTGGTGGCATTGATGAACGCAGTATAAAGCAGCAATATATAGTAATATTGTCAAGACTGGACAACATATCTGAAGAGCTTTTGAATAGGCCGCCATATGCCGTTGCAAAATTTGTGAGGTTTATTTCTCGCCTTCCTTGAACGCATAAATGATACCACTGAGTAATATTGAACACCATGGAAAAAACCGATCAATTTACATTCCTTTGCTGAGGGACATGGTCAACGTACTGACAGATGACACACCACCCACAGGCTCTTTGACGAAATGCGACGAACAAATCTATTTGTATATGTATGGATCTACATTCAGATAGTGAGAGAGTGAGATGGGGAGCGTTATATTTAGTTTATAGGATATCCATGCATATCCATCACACCCCTGCAACATAAGCTAACTTGATGCAGACAATATAACAGAAAAGGTGTGAAAAGAAGAGTTTATATATACAGAATCATATAAGTCCACTTTCTTTTAAAACCAATGCTTCCACACGTACGATTCTTGGAAATATATAATGCTAGTTCTAATTCTGTTCAACTCTTCTGCGCATATTAACTCTTGATTTGATGCCTCCCCACGGACTGTGTTCACTGACCCCCTTTCAATTCCTCGCGACGGGGCTCCCATTGGGGGGCCAGACATCAGAAGACGAGCCCTGGGTGAGGCCCTCAAGGCCCTCAAGGTAAAGCCTATGATCACTGACCTTTTTGCCAAGAATCACACAATTGACTTAATTCCTCCACAGTGGCTCCCTTTTTGGGGGCACCCAGCTTCAATGTTTGCAAGGCACTTTAAGCGTGACAATTGCAGCAGCCCTGAAGAAAAGAAGACCTTGGGAATGACTTTGCTCAAGATTAAGTTTATCCACAAGATCTTCTGAAAACAAAGAACTTTAAAGTTTGGGATTTATTAGTCCTGGGGCACATTGTCCAAAGCAGCATTGTGGACATGCACCCTGTTAACCCTGTTAGACAGAATCAACTCTAGACTCTAGATTTAATTCTCCCAGCTTACATGTTAATGATAATCCGCTTGCTAGAGTTAACTCTCGATTAAATTCCTTTGGCATGAGCGCCAGAAGTGACACACCATGTACAAGCATTAACTTTAAGCTTAATTCTTTAGAACTCGTGTTTGTCACGCTCTTCCCAACCATAAAACCGACGGCAAATGTTCTTGCCTGCACGATCCAAGAAAGAGACTGCCCTTAAAGGCCCCTGCATGGCACCCAATTTGTCCGAAATAGTCTCATAGGAGGACATTGGATATGGGCAGAACATACTATTTGACATACACCACAAATGCCTGAGTCTTGCATTTTCAGGGGTCGGTATTCCCACTAATCGTACAGGTATAAGGGGGAGGTGTTTTTGAAGCAGTATATATCGATATATATATATATTTTTTAATATATATATATACAATAGACACTTTTTGTTTACCTACAGCACCCCCGTGCTTCTTGAGACTTGATCTGCTGTGAGCACATGCGAAAGCTGCATCGCTAGTTCAAACTGTTGTGGCCAAGTGCCAGGCACTTGGATAGAAAGGTGAGCCTTCCTCCTCTTTTGGCTGTGCGAATGCTACCCTTTCGTGGTGTTCCATGGTGATCCCCTTGGACTGGAGGGTGCGAGGCTGACATCCTTCGGTGGAATTCGTTCGCCGCAAATGTCGCCCGGAAGAACACTTATTGGAGAAAGAGGTCTATGCCATGGAATGTCTTCTAATGTTTAGTCTTAATGATTTGTGTCTGCATTCTATTTACATATCTGTATGCTCAACACACCAAGTTCATGCCATTGTCACGCTACCTTCATGGGAAAGGCTCACCTTTGCAGCACGTTTTTGGGTGCGGACCTCATGCGTTGGCGATCCTTGAATCGTAGTTGCAAGCTGCAGACATATCCAGGTCAAAATCAGTCCACCCCTCGATTGGTGCGACGCCGCCAGGTATGCAAAACTGAACGCATCAAAACGAAACAGGCCTTCTGGCGGTGATAGGTTTCTGATTGCCTGTTTCATTGATGCCAAGATTGGTTAGAGGAAACGCTTTGGCTCGGAGAGCCCGAGCTATCCCAAGCATGAAAATTCATTGCAATGTTGCAAAGGCAAAGATGCTTCAGCAATCCACAATCCTCTATAAGCTGGGTTGCTGAAAACTGCACTGTGCAGGTTCGGGGCATGTTCAATGAGAGGCAAATCGTGAATGCCATTAATGCCCACCGGTGCCGGCGCATGTGTTTCTTTGCTGTACTGGTTTTACCTCGCCCTGGCCCCTGGTCACAGCTGCTTGATTTTGCCACCCGGGACTTGCAGGCTTGGCCGAAGTGGACACCAACACTCCATAGGCCTGATGAACATATGTTGCCATTCGAGTCCTACTTGGGGATGGTGATCCAACATGAATATTGTGGAGGATGGTTTGCATCAACTACCCCGAGATACTGTAACTTGACAGATGCCACAAGGAGACGATGAACTGGACTTGATTAGCAGCATTTGGCAGCCACATAGGTTAGAACGGTAAAACGACAGACCCTCCAGAAGTACACGATCTGAGTATTCACTTCTAAAGATCTACAGCAATATAGAAAGTTTGGCTGACAAGAAGTATTGACATGCTTTGACTGGAGTATGGATGTACTTTTCAGTGGCCTAGTGTGCCAGTGATGCTGCCACAGCAAAGCTGCAAGCACATCTTGTCTTGTCTTGTTGTGAAAAGTTCCCTGCAAACTTTTGAAGAAACACTAAGACGTGATTGGAGAATGCACTGGTGTCTCAAGAGCCATCCTACATGTCCCAGTTTGTGCCATGGGAGGCCGGTAGCTAGCAGCAAGTTGCAGAAAAACCAGTAGGGTGCAACGTGAGAGCTGCCATGCTAACCGCTGCGGAGACATTCTCTCATAGGTTGGTTCTTTGTATTTTATGGGCTGACTGCGCAGCGCCCCCTAGAAAGATGAGTAGACTCGCCATTTGCCTTTGATATGATTGAGTGATGCGTCCAATTATGCCGAAGTCTCGGAAGGTGGTGGTCCAGAGTGGTGCCCATCTGGACAAGAACAAAGGCGGACGAAGAACAATGCTCAGTTGTGAAGAGAGGCAGGCAAATTCTCCCTCAGAAAGCCATTCCTTAGCCCCTTCGCTTCGGCACAGCCTCATCCGGCTGGGGAGAACATCCGAAAGGGCTCAGAATTGGTTGGCAGATCGAACCTCTCAATGTGGCTATCGAAACCTTCCCACTGGTTCAATGGTCTACTCAATGTGTTTGTGATTTGCTGGCCTGTCGACAACTGATTATGAAAGGTAGAATGTACTCAGATGGTTTGTTTCACGCGCAGATCGGAAAAGAGGACGTGGATGTTCGTGGAAGTTTGGCCAGTGGTGCAGGTGAGAACTCAAACTCATATTCTTTGCCGCTAAGTGGTGGTGCAGATGGGAAGTGGTCTAGATCAGTCATGGTTTTTCAATGAGGACAAATTAATACAAATCTATAACATAGAATAATACAATATCATATTGAAAGTAAGAGAACATGTTTTAAGATTTTTTATAACCTTCCAAACATCCTTTAGAATATTCAGACGTTTTAAACACAAAAATAGTTAATAAACTCTTTCAGAATATTCAGAAATCGGTTTAAATCGTTTAAACAAATATATAAAACATCTTCAAAATCTTAAATCTTACTTAAAATATCTCAAACTATCTCAAAACATCTCACAACAACTTGTTAACTTGGAAAGGGTTCGGAATTACAAAATAGCTTGCCAGACTGAACATATCATAATAGCTCTACAAACCTCAAACCATCTCAAACAAGTTTTAAATATGTGAAATAAATGCAAGCAAAACAGCAAAGACATAGGACAATAGTCACGTGGTGAACGTCGCCCTGACATGACATTGAAGAGTATTCTGCAGGCTTTTGGGGTCTCAAAGATTTCTGAAGATTTGAGGTGGTTCTTGTCGCACGTGATCAATCGCGTGGTGAGCCGGCAGGGAAAATAACTGGCTGCGAGCTAGCGTATCAAGGGAATGCTGAAAATCAAAGAGCAGAGCTTAAAATCAACAAGTAAAATATCAACATATGTCAAACTTACATATGTATATATATATATATACTTTTTGTGTTGATTTTCTGTGATTATATGTATTTTTTGATGTTAACTGTGTTTTTTTGGAAGTTTGTGTGCAAAAGCCATAGGCCAAACCCGGGCTGATCCAATCCACCACTTAGTCTCTCTGACATATACACGCATGATTTTGAATCCCACCTCCAATGATTTGATCGGTATTCTGAATGGTGGGACATACACTCGTATCCAAAGCGAGTGCGACCCGCTGAGATCGGAGTTCTGAATGGTTGCTACAACCCGCGTCCATCCTCGGGTCGCCGCATAGGTAACTCGGCGACCCTCCCGTAACTCGGTTCGGTGCTGGGGGGTGCGAGGGGGGTCGAAGTACCTTGGAGTGCAGTAGAGTCTTAGACTCATGTCCGGCGAAGCAAGCAAATTGCTTAGAATCAGCTCCCATCACGATCGATCATAAGACTGCTGGGAAAGGCAGTTTTTGGTCCACATTCGACTCCTTTGCAGCCATCCGGGCACAGTTTTCTCGAAGAGCCCTGAACGAATCTGCTGGACGCCATGCTTTCGCGCCTGACTCGTCCTGCAGCCAACGCAGCCGCACGCCTTGCGAAGAGTGTGCGCAAGGTCAGCACCACCCAGACGCTCTGATTGAAGATCCAACCCAGATGAGTTGGTAGTATCGATCTCATCTCAAGGGACCCTCCAACCACGGACCTGCAGTTGGCCTGTGGTCAGCAAACCCTCTGACTTGTCACTCGCCAGTCACGGGGGCATGTTCCATCATGTTCCATCCTCCAGCCTCATAGCCAGTGCTGCGGAGTGTGTATATATATTTACATATACACATACACACTAAATATACATACATATATAACAATACGCGTGGCAGTTGAGGATTAGAGCCTCTGCCGTATACCATATAGATCCATATAGCCTATACTCTATACCTTTCCTGAGCCTATTGTCCTTGGCCTTTTCCGTTGCCACAGCGTGGTCAGCAACTAACCCTGTAGAGAAACATCTATTATGTGGGAAAATGCTGCACCTAGTTAGCTGGCTAACTCAGTTGTTCGTTTGAGGATTGGAGGCTACGAAGTCTTCGACCATTCCTATGACGCTGTGGTCATTGGCGCTGGTGGTGCAGGTGAGGACGCCTGGTCACGGCTGGACACCGGTGCGGCGCAACACCGTGGCGACAACGTGGGACACTGAAGTATGATGTTTTGTGGTGTTTTGTGGCGATTTTTGGGTTGGGGCAAAGATGAAATGCCTCGTGTTCTTGAATCAGGTTAAACACGTCGAACCAGCTGAGACAGACAAAGGTGGGCAATGGGACTAGATACACTACGGACGTTACAAGGTGTTGACTTGCAGATATTGCAAAGGCGTCCACCAGTTCTATTTCAGGTTCGGGATTCCTCAATTGCTATTAAAATATAGTTGTTCCTTGTAACACTTTGTTTTGACCATTGTTGACCATAGTCCCAAATCTCAGTAGTTGATTGCTTAGAGATGCTTACAGGTTCTTCAAGGACTTTGGCTCCTCGTCATGTTTGGTTTTCGGAGGAGGTCTAAGTGCAACCTTGAAAGTGGGCTCATTTGACTATCAAATAACATGGGAATGGTTGGTTGGTAATTTGGTTGGGCTCATTTTAAACCAACCCCCGACTCAGGGGAGCTGCATCAGAATCGTCCACACTTCCCCAGCTTGATAACACCAATTTCTGGTTGGAACCAGTTTGAAGCTCCCTGTCCAGTTTCACTGGGGGCTTCCGAGAAGGTCGCCTGACCACTGGAAATCAAGCTCCAAATATATCCAAATCGACACCCACTTGCCATCCTGTTCGATTCAGGGCTCGCCAAGCCGCCAAGCCTCCTGTTCGAATCTTCAGGTCTTCGTGCTGCTGCTGGGCTCGTGGGCCATGGCTTGAAGACAGCTTGCATTACCAAGGCAGAGCCGTGAAAACATGGGCGGAGCTTGATCTCCGAATTTGCTGCGTGAGGGAATCGGGAATGCACAGAAGGACCATGCATGAAGGCAGAATCATATACATCCCGCCGGGTGTGGAATCGCACGTGTAGTCGTGCAAATTTTGAATCAAACGTGCAAGCCCTCTCAGTACTTTTGCTTGTTCGATGATGTTTTTTTGGGGTCCCGGATCCTTTCATTTTTAAAGCCGAATCTGCCGAAACCCAAGCGCCAGCGCAAATCCGTCGCCGTTTTTGTCCCGGGCTGTCCTCAACTTTCATGCGTCCTGTCTCAAGTAGACTTGCGCAGTTTTTTGCACAAGTTAGTACACGTGGTGTTTTCCCAACGCCACTGCCATCTGCGAATCACACGACTAATCGATGACAATGTTATGAAACCGATGACAATGCTATGAAACCGAAGATTACTTGTGAAATCGATGACAATGTTCTCAGCATGACGTCCACATCCTCATTCCATCACAACGCCCCCCCCACCCCATTTTAATCACACGACTAATCGATGACAATGTTATGAAACCGATGACAATGCTATGAAACCGAAGATAATGTTATGAAACCGATGACAATGCTATGAAACCGAAGATTACTTGTCGTGAAAACGATGACAATGTTCTCATCCCACCCCAACCCAACCCCCCCACCTTTCACGTAGCATCATCTTCAGATAGCAAGTGCAAACGAACGTCAATATGCCCCATCCCACCCCACCCCAACCCCCCCCACCTTTCACGTAGCATCAACTTCAAAAATCGCAGTAGTCACACGTTCGGTTTTACACCCGTAGGCATATACATGAATGATCGTGAACATGCTCGCATGCTCCACCTCTCATCGTCCTTCGCCTCCCCGATGGGAAAGTCTACCTTCCCCCCAGTCTACGAGGACCCGGTCGTTGGCAGGTTTTCCCAACACGCTCCCACACTGTTGCTGCTCAAGGCGAGGTTGTGAGATTTTTGCATGCTTTGGTGCGTTTCCAGGTGCCAAAGTACTCATCGCTCCCATGCGCAGTTTGGGCCAAACACGAAGATATCAATATATGATTCAATATGAATCAAAGCCTGATTACTCCTTGAGCTCTCGGGATGCTTGTTTTGCGTGCAGTATGTAATTACAGTATAGCCTCCTGAAAGCTCGGAAGTTGATCAGAGAGGCGGCATCAATGGCGCGTTGGCCAACATGACAGAGGATGACTGGCGTTGGCATGCCTATGACACTGTGACTGGCCATACTTGCCTATATGATGCTGGCACTGGTGTTGTATACAAAGAACCTGCAGGATTTTGATATAACTTTGATACTTCGTTAACAACAAAAAAGAACATGTAAAAGCACACATGTTTTTCTGCACCACTCGGGCGTTGAGAAACAGGGACGTCCAAATAACCGAGGTGAAGGGAGCTGATTGGTTGGGAGATCAGGATGCGATTCAGCACATGTGCCGTTTGGCGCCGGAGGCGCCAAACGTTGTCGGTGTAGATGCCAGGATGAGGGCATGGCCCGTGCCATGGCAAGAGGAAGACTGCGATGTCTATGCCTGCTCGGCAGGGCTGGGGGAATGTTCGGCTCATGAACTCCAGGATGACCTAGAAGAACAGGAGAGGCTTATGTTCTGGTGCAGTGCATGATATGCTGCCTGAGATTTTTGTTGGAGGCACAACTCCTTCCCGTACGGCTCTTTTTGGGGGGAGCTCCTCCGGTACGCATGCATACCCAAGCTGGCGCTTCGACTCGGATCATGGAGCCAAACCCGTCCTCCTGCCGCCTTCGCTTTGGGCCGTCGCAGGTGATTTTGGAGCTCGAGTCCTTCGGCTTGCCATTCAGCCGCACGCCCGAGGGGAAGATTTATCAGTGAGCCTTTGGAGGGCAGAGCTTGAAGTTTGGCAAAGGCCACCGTGGGCTTGTGCTCAGGGGCCGCAGGGCTGGCATTGAGCCTGGTTGGAGAGATTGTTCTTGGGTGATGTGGGGTGTGGATGTATGCACCGCATTTGTACTGCCATCAATTGGCAAATGGACAAGTAAGCAAGGTTTTTGTGTTGATTCCCTACCCTGGTTTTGTGAGATCGGATTTGGCCAATACCTTATGGTGGCTGGTGGTGGGACGACATGGTTGCATTGGAGAAACTTGGGGATGACTTGGAGCAGAACATCCTCTGGATCCCCTGCAAATCCACCGTCACGTGGTGACGTGTATACTATATGTGGTTCGTGGTAATGTAGTGAGGGTTCAATGCCACTTAGTGGGGTCAAAGACACTCAAACTCACCATTGATTCGATGGGAAAAAACGTCCACACACCCGGTTTTACGTGGTGTTCCTTCTATGCAAGTGATCGGGGGTCCAGATGGTGTTTGTTCATGCATTTCTTATCATATAAGTAGAAAAGCATGAACGAGCTGCAGGCTAGATCACCTTACATGCAAACCCCATCCAAAGTGGTCAAACTTCGTGACGGTGCCATGCTGAACTATTTGCACGCCCCAAGTCGACATGCAAGTCGACAAGAGCCGTGTACAGTAGAGGAGACGCCGTTTTCCCATGTTTTCCCAACCACGCCAAACGAAAAGCATTCTTAGTTTGGCTTTCTTGGATGGAGCAGACCTTCCCGACCAAGTCTATTTCATGAACGGAACGTTTGGCCTATGTTGACCTGGCTTTGTTGACCTCGGCCCGGGACTTTTAGGGTATTTGCATCGGCGTTTGCAGCTCGGAGCGGCTGACCACAGGTGGACAGGCTTATCGATGCGCAGCTGCAGCGGATCGCACGGGGCATGCAATTCTCCACACCCTTTATGGCATGGACACTTGGCGCGGCAGAGCGGGTGTGCTTTCGTCCCGATGTTGGGCTTACGATGTAACAGTTGAACAGGAAGATGCAGCAGTGCCCGAAATGGAAGTGACACCAACAGTAGTGGCAGTCGTGGTTTGTGGCATATATGAAATATATTATATATGGGCCCTCATACGTGCATCCCCCCTGAAGCTGACTGAAAGAATGACCATCAGCGGCAGTCTGGCCCATTGGTGTTTTGATCATTCTTGATCCATGGTTTAGTGAGACGCCATGAGACACCACAGGCAGCACAGATCACTAGGTCTGTCGCGCTTGGTGTTTTGAGGCCTTGAAGTTCGACTGCCTGTTCTTCGTCGAGTATTTCGCCATGGACTTGATCATGAGTTCCTCGGCGACACGCGGGCGGTTCCGGGCCGACGGCGGCGGTGGTCTTCAGGCCGAAGCGGTAGGTTCACACGGGGAGCTGGCGGGCGGGATCTCAGGTTCACATTGTTCGGCTTCGGAAGGAGTGAAACGAAGAGTGGTGGCGGCATCTCGACGGACGTCAGGCGATGATGGAAAATGCTTGGGCTGCGTTGCAATGTCCCTTGGAGCTGCAGACTTCAGTTGAGACCCTGGGTAGGAGAGATGCCATTGGTTGGATCGCGCACGTGAAGACAAGCTTCTGTAGTTGGTAAGTTTTCTTCTCAAGCAGATGCTGTCAACGCACCATGAATCTTTCAAGGGAAGGTACATGTATTGGCAGATTAGGCGGAAACCATGATGGAAAATCACGGAGAAAAGACCGGTTTCCTGTGTGTGTGAGCCTAAGTGGCTTTTTGTTCAGATGTTGGTTCGATGTTTTTGATGTTGATGGGGCTGGATTTCTTATAGAGCCGATTATATAACCTCAGCCGCACCAGGTGCAGTGCGTGGAGAGAAAGAGAGAGACTCACACAAAGTGTGTTTGGATTTCTTGGAGCCAGGCAATTCAATAGACTCCTAAGAGTGTTAGCAAAATTGCATACTTTTGCACTCTTGCTGCAGAGAGATTTGTTGGGGTAGAGAGTGAGTGGTTATAGGCGACACGGTGAGCGAGTGATGGCATTGGTTTGGAGACCCTGGTCCCATGTGCGACCAGGCCATTGAACCAGAAGGTCCCACTCTTTAGTTCAATGAATTCTGCAAACACACTCGCGGAAAAATATATACAGGAAGTGAAGTGTACTTCAGATGTCATGGTCATCCTTTCGCGGCCATCCACATATATATCCCTGATTTTAGGGATGTAACGGTGGTAATCCCAAATCCTCCGTTTCGGAGCCTCAAGAGATGGCAACCCCCAAGGTGCATGGAGGATGGCTCGATCCATCGCTTCGGCGCCCATTCGACGATCATCGCCACGGGTGGCTTTGGCCGAGCCTACCAGTCTTGCACCTCTGCGCACACGTGCACAGGCGGGGCGCGGGAGTCATGAAGCGCCGGTGTTTGACGAGAGAATCGGGCGTTTCTGGGAAAGAGGCGGGTTGGTTTTTGTGGTATTGCTGTTGGAGAGCTTTCTTTTGAAGACACCTTGCAGTTCCACGTTCAATTCAGCGAGAGTGCTCCGGTTACACCCGGATCCAACGACTTGTAGGGGTGGCTCCTTTCGATAGAGGAGAGAGGTTTGTAGGAAGACTTTTGGTGATCCCGGACAATCTTGCACTTGCCCGAAGATGAGCCTTATATAATATATAGCCTATAGCTGCACTTCCTCCGCTTCCCAGGAGATGGTAGTGCCATGGCTTCTCGCGCTGGGCTCCCCATGCAGGACTTGGAGTTCGTTCAATTCCACCCGACAGGCGGGGGTAGATCACGTCAAGAAGAGCTCAATTCCCTTCGTCAACGCTGGCCGTGACCCCCAAGTTCCAGGACAGCAAGGATGAAAGAGACCAAGACCGCCATGTGTTCAGATGTTCGCCTTATTGGGGGGGTTACTGCTGTCTTGTTACCCAAGACCGCCACTGGAATCCCGCCAACCCAAACTTCCAGAATTCCCCCGGCCCCGTCGCTCCTCGCTTTTTGCAGTAGGTAGTACGTAGGTCTGTTTCCAAACATGCAGCCTAGACCAGTGCCAGATGCAGGTCGGGGTGATAGGGAACATTTGAGGTAGATCGAAGAGTGAACCCCATGCAAGTATGATTCAGAATTACAAAAGATCCAAGCAGATTGACAGGTTGCGTAGTAGTTGCGTTCTTGAAAGTGTGAAAATGTGTTTGAAGTTCGCAGTGCTATCCTGACATATCCTGACATTGAAGCGCTTGTCCTTAGGTCCCACCAGTCCCAGGTTTTTCAGAACCCATCACATGCCGAGGTATTTTCCCAGCTGGCTGCCTGCTCACAGAGGGTTGCCGTGGTGAGGGCGGCATCCTGCGCAACAGTTGCTCGGCAGCGTGTGCCTTCCTTCGTCATCCTGCGCGAAGCCTTCGGGTGGCGAGCATGGGACCTCTAGCCATCCTGTTGTTGTCTCATCGGTTCGCATCCCAAGATCCCATTCCAAAAGCATGCGGATGATCCGGGGCGGAGGAGCGGTTGAGATCGGGAGCGATGATCGGGATGACCTCGTTTGATGGTCATAGGTTGAGAAGAGCAAGGATCCGACTCGGAGGAAGACTTTTTTCAAATGTTCAAACGAGCTATGTCTCTTGTCCTTTCTGCCCCAAAGAGAGGGTGTTTTATTTTAAAGCTGGTTCGATGCTTGTGCATATATCTTATGGGTGTTTCAATCATTTCCATCCATGCCACAGAGCATCATAGGCTAATTGACGTCTCCTTTCCAATATTCAAACGTCACATCGATCTCCACCAGTCCCCCGGCCAAGGCGAAGGCGAGCCCTTCATGGCGCGCTACGCGCCCACAGCGAAGGATTTGGCCTCGCGCGACGTGGTGAGCCGTGCGATGACCTTGGAGATCCGCGAGGGCCGTGGTGTGGGTCCCAACAAGGAGAGGGATCGGCTTTGGTGCACGGCGCCATCGTTTCCTCCACGGAAACGTGACTGGAGAGGTAGATTTTAAGCATACCGAGAAGCGGATGGAGGTATGGGGGCAAGATGGTGACATTGATGTTCTTTGGAATGTGGAAGATCAACGTCAATCATGAGGATGTCCTTTTTTTCTAATATACACTGTATATATATATATATATGATGTCAACGTGGTGATCGCACCCCTCCAAGACATTGGAATACAAGATTCTCAAGTTCCCACCTTGGAAACCCATGTCTAAATACGATTAAATATGTTGTCTAGTTGTTTTGAAAGGCAAACAACCTTTGAATCCCAGCTTTTTCTCAACCACCCAGCACCCAGTAGTTTTGAGGAGCCAATCTTTGGTGCTTTTGTAGATACACTGTCCATCACTGCCCGCAAATGTCACAAACTGGGTTGATCTCACTCTTTGGTAGCACCGTGCTGCACTTGTGAGCCTGAAAGAGCGACGGTCCAAGAGTGACTCTTATGACTGGACAATCACCATGTTCCCTCCAAAATCGTTCGGATCCGAACATTCTTGACGTCGACGGATCGCAGCCAGGACCACATCTTCCTGCACCTCGACCATTTGCCTCCAGAGACCTTGGCTGAACGTCTCCCAGGCATCTCCGAGACTGCGAAGATCTTTGCGGGCGTGGATGTGACCAAGGCGAGTATCTCCGTTGTAGAGAGTTCCTTCTTGGAGAAGGGGACTTTGTATTTTCCGGGGGTTCTTTTGGAGACACATAGTGATTTCCATAGCTCCATATATCTCCATATGTTTTTTCTTTTTCAGCTCATTGATGTTACAGTATATCATTGTATCGAATGCACTCAACCCCTTTCCACCCTCTGATCACCTCAAGGCGCAAGTATGTGCGCAAGTGTGGGTGGGTGGGTGCTGCGCGCGCACCCCTTGGGCTCAGAGGATGTCCTGGGGCTTGTATAAACAGCAGGGGAGCAGATACTGCTACTCTGTCCGACAAAGCTATGCATCAAAAAGGGAAACATCCGCTGGCCATGGATGTGTACCTGCGTGTTTGTGGCGTTGAGTAGACGCATGCCACTCTAGCTTTCAGGCGGTTTCGGTTGATGCAGGTTTGCTGTCACGCATCCTGATTATCGCATCCTACACATTTCAAAACTTGAAACTTTCACTGTCGATCCCCGTTTGGAATATCAGGACGTTCGATCACCGCTGCATTCACGCGTTATACATCGTTATACGTGGTCCTACCATGTTCTTTGCAGGCACATTGCGGCCTTCGTCGCAGGTACCCAATCACAAGTAAGCGTGTGTTTGTGTGTGTGTGTGGGGGGGAGGGGGGGGAGGAGGAGGAGGAGGAGATCAGAAGAGTGTGAATGTGGGACCTTTTTGGGGTCAAACTGTCAGAGGGTGGTGAAGCTGTACTAATTCACGCTGATTTGGGCTATACACTGGGACTCATCAACATACCACCCTGTGGCCCCTAAGAACGTGTAACGTGGGGCGTGCAAACAGAACAGCATCATTAGTGGCCGCCGCATTTCTTTGAAGGTAAACCCACTACTGACAAATAATGTTGCTTGAAATTGTGCTCGTTTGCCTCTTCTGCTGTTTTCTCATTCCACCGGTTTCAGCAGTGGTTCACACTGGCTCATTCAGATCCGTTTGGAAGTTTAGATGATCTTCGAATGAATTTCGATACAGTGCGGTGCACGTGTTGAAAGAGGCAAGTGGGTGTACCTAGGCTGAAAGAACATATTATGATAATGTATTCCCATTGTTTCAGGGTGTCGGGGCGCTCGGAAATAGTTCTAGCTGCACCAGTTTGCAGAGCCTGCCGGACAAGTTTTGGGTTGTGGACCGTGTTGCTCTTCAGAGTCTCAATGTTTTGCAGAAAGTTGCCCAAAAGAAGTCGCGTCGTAACTCCGGCGTAATTTCCCGTACTCCGGCGAAAGTTTCCAGAAACGGTTTTTTTGAAGGCTTTGAACCTTGAATTTTTTGATTGGAGCCATGAGTTCTGCTACATTTATTAAGGGGTCGAGGTCCTGAGGCAAGCAAAAAAATCCTGGAGAGCAACCCACTTAACTTTGTAAAAGAGCTTTAGAGACATGGTTGCAGAGAAAGAGGGGCTCCTTGCCACATACTCCTTGGTTTGTTCTTGGAAGTCTTTGCTTGGGCACAAGTTTGCTTATATTTTGTGAAGGTTCTGCTCTTAGGCATTTCAGAAGATGGGCGAGGGCAACGGGAACGGGAAGGCTCCAGTGTTGGGTTGTGGAATGAGTGTGTTCCAGAAACACTACTCGTGGCGCAAAGGCGCTTGTGTATAATCCAACCTTTCATCATGATTGTTTTTCAAAATCTTGCATCCGGATGTTTCTTCAGGTCCTCGGCGTTTTTTGGAGAATCTGGTGGATTTTTTTTCCGGATTGACGTCCGGCACCTTTGTTTTAACCTAAAGGAGGATTCAGGTATATAATGCATACAACACAGAGAGAAAGAGTTCCATCATGTTTGGATGGAGTTGGACGTTTCATGCAGGAATGAGACATGTACCCCCCGAAAAGGGCAGAGGGACACATGCATGGCGAATAGTATCCACGAGTCCATCCAGGGCAGGCATAGTTGGACGACTACATTTTTCCGTGGATCGTTCAAGGGATAAAAAATCATGCAGTCATGTGTGGCAAACTGTGTATGTCAAGATCCTGCGTTTCTCCCTGCAGGAACCGGCACCAGTGCTGCCTACCGTGCACTACAACATGGGTGGAATCCCGACCAATTGGAAGACACAGGAGCGGTTTTTTTCGTAGTGCCTGGTCTTTACCTGTGAAAAACACCAGGTTCCTCAGTTTCACCGAGGCTGTTCGTTCAGCGATGTTCATTCTATGTCGTGGCCGGCCGCATTGCGCTCTCCAGGTGGTCAAGGATGCTGAAGACACTATTGTTCCTGGTCTCTTTGCAGCTGGTGAGGCCCAGCGGTCACCCCTGCCGTGAAACACTGAACCGGGATGTTTGTGCCCACCTGTCGCGAACTCATTGTCAGAAAGAGCAGGAACATGTCCCTTTGACTGTCTATTGCAGCCGCCTTTTCATGCAGCACTCAGCAGCTCCACAAGCCAACGGCCCGGACCGCGCACTTCGTTCTCACGCACTCGATCCACCGCACAGCTCCAGGCGGGATGCGCATCGGTGCACGGCGCCAACCGCTTGGGCGCCAATTCCCTCTTGGACTTGGTCGTTTTCGGCCGTCAGGCGACGCGGTCGTGGACCGGGGGATGAGGTGTATACAGCTTGGGTTTGTCCATTCTTACTGTAACAGTTAGTAAACAAGCAAATCATCATTTTTGAACAAGGCCTGCAACCTAACCATCATCATCTACTGGGCCCAGGTAATAGGATAGATAGACCCATGTATACACTATGGTTCTGCGCGGGAAGACCCGAGACCCACATGGAACCAGGCCTGGCGTCGTGGTTTAGACGATGTTCCCAGCGGCACGGTGGTTGTCAGGTTCCGTGAATGATCCAGGGTGTAGGTGTGCATGGATACTGGCCACACATACCGCGGTGATTGGGGCGAGCCTTGCAGGACCTGCATATCAGGCTACACAGTACCGTACACACACACACACACACTCACGCACAGATTGAGGGTTTGGACCCTCTCACGAAAATCAAGGACCTTGCCGATTCTCCATATATATATATATTATATATATTTCTCCATTATGGTCTTTCACTAGTCTATCGAGCCGGGATCTGGAATGTTCTGGGTATTCAGACGGTCTTCGGGCTCGGGGTGTCCTAAAGAGGAGCTGAATCATGGAGGCCACCCTCTCCATCCCCCACTCGGAGGGCCTTCCAGCTCATGAAAACCACATGGAACGACTCCACGGCGCTCGGTCACTCCCATTCACTCAGGCTGCGGACACCACGGCCGAACTGGTGAAGCCCAACAGTCCTCCAGTGGTGTTGCCCAAGAACGCCCCTCGGTGGACAGAGCCACCTGGGGGAGGGTCCTCCGCATGGCGGGAGGAGTTCCCGAAGCGTGCAACTGTGGGGCTTCGAGTTTGCTGTACATTTCTCAAGAGTTTGGGGCGATAGGGCCGGAGTCGACACTCGTCACTGGCTTGCATATCTAGATGCTATGTTTGATTATTTGCTTTGCCTAGAATGTATGCAGCCGAGTTGGCTGCGGGCAAGTGAAAGCACAAGTCGAACGAGAAAACACTTCAGGTGATATATATTGATATATCATGGAAAGAGAGTCAATGGATTTTCAGCTATATGTATACAATTGTTTGTGCATACTGGGACAATTAATTACTAGCATCTAGCAGCTAGCATATAGAGCGATTTGGTGTGACGATGTGAATCAGCAGCTAGTCCACACGCTGGCTGACCTGTCTCTTTCTAGGCCTCTAGCTCTCTAGCTCACCTTAGTGTTTGGCTCATCTGATATGGAGAGAAAGAGAGAAAGAAAAAGAGAGAGAGAGAGAGAAAGAGAAAGACAGAGAAAGAAGCAATCGCCTCATAATTAGATGTTTCATGAATTTTCATGATGTTTAATGTTTTCACTCAAACAAGACGAAAGAAGCTGGTCTTTCTCGCCACACCAGGCAGGTGAAGCATCCATCGCCCGCATGGACAAGATGCGCCACTGCAGCGGGCCGATCCCCACCGCAGTGCTGCGGCGCGAGTTGCAGGCTTTCCGCGTGCCGTGACGGCGCGCGGCACGAGTGGCATCGTTTGGTTTTTTCCTCAGAAAATCGGAGATGCTGCCGCGTCCGATGTTGCTACATGCGAGGTCTTGTGAGAACGGAGTTGCACAAAGGGAAGCAAATGGATGAATCACGTTTGGTTGTTGACCACTGGACCGATATTTGTGTTTTTGTTTGATTATATAAATTTCTCGTAAAAGAGACATAAAAGGACTCCTGGAATCATCTGGAATCTTCCCTTGGCTGCTTCTTGAGACTTTTGCATTCAAGTAGTTCAACTTGGCCGTTTCAAGTAGTTCAAGCAGTTCGCTCTTTCTGATGTTTGCGACAGGTTACCATGCAAAAGTATGCGCCTGTATACAGTCGCCGGGCTGTTTTCTTGGACCGACTGGGGGCAGAGTTGGTGTCGACCCAATGCAGACCACCGGGAGTGTCACCCCTACCATCCTCCAGCCCATGGGCCCACCATCATCAGTGTTGAAGAGGTGACTCGTCGCTTTGGCGCGGGCAAAGGCATACACTCTGCACTAGTGAGTTGGGACTTGTGAAATGACTGCAAATTTCGAAGTGCCATCTCACGTGTTTCCAAGTGTGTCCACAACTCCCATCTCATCATGCATCTACCATCAAAATCAAGATCAGCCGAAGGTAGCTTTGCTTATCTTATCTCTTTGAATTGGTGTGTTCCAAAGGAGGACAGTCAAACATAGTTTAATATAAGTTGTATTTTGTGTGTTTTAAGTAATAACTGAAACTCGTTGTTATGACAAATGCATTAAATGAACCACAATGTAACTTAAATGGCGCATTAATGACGAAAACGTTATTACATGATTGCACAAAATAAACGTGTTGACCAGCCTATCTCCTGTGCCTCCTGAATGTTTTCAGTCAACTTTTCTCAGACACATGTGTCAGGACTTGTGCAACAAGCAACCCCTCTCATAATTGGCACAACTCCTAACTCATCTGGGGGTAGTATAGTTTGGATATATTCACGGATGCCAATATGATGCAAGTGCATGCCACTCCTTAGGGGGTTGGTCCTATTAGCCACTGCAGCCACTGGAAGATGGTTCCAAAGAATCGTCTCGCTCGAAGGTCCGAAATTCAGGAGCTGCGAACAAAGAATCTGCGCAGACCCAGACCCACAGACCCAGACAACTCATGGACACAGCTGGACACAACTCATGACGCATGTACTTCTGACGCATACGCTCGATGCCATTGACCCCCGCATCGGTGGGCCGCATCGGTCTGGACGCTCCGAACATCCGAACCGACGGCGGCGAGCGGCAGCGGCTGCGCCGTGCTTCGTAGCGGGGGTTCTCTCTGACGGTTGCCGTCTGAAGCCACTCACTCACATAGAAGTGGAAAACACTCCCGATGTTCTGGTGATTAGTAAGAGGATGAGGTGTTTCCAGGGCGGAATTTTCATCAATGTTCCACTTACATGTGAGTGATTCAGAGTGCAAGCCAGCCTTTCCCAAGGAAATGCCGACGACTTGGCCAAGGGTAAGGAGGCGGTCGTTGAAGTCATGAAGAAGTTCAAGGCACTGTTGGGTGCTTGGGGAGCCCACCAAAGGGATGAGCAACAGCCAGTGATTCTTCTACAGCCAGTCTCGTTTTTGCCCGACTGTGCATACTGAGATTTTTCCAAGTTTGCCGGACGCCTGTTGACCTCTGATTAATAAGCGCGGGTGTCATATTTCCAAGTTTCGTTCACCCTAAATAAAGTTAATCCGAGGTTCCAAGAAAGAATTCAATAGAGAAATGACATGATCCCTTACTAAAACGAATTTTAAAAAGAAAGGAAGGAGGAATCTTATCACCGCAAGAACCCGCCGCAAGATCCCGAGACCGGACGAGCCCTATGCTATACTATACTAGTCCCACGTCCTGTTGATATTGAAGCCGGTCCTCAAACTCTGTACCATTCACCGACAGGTCAGGGACTGTCAGCCAACTACTTTATGATGCAATCACTTTTGTTTTGCGAGGCGAGGTGAACATTTCATATTGGATCATATCGGTCATTCAAGCACGCGGCCCAGAGTTGGCCCTCGCAAACCTCAGCGAGCAGCACCTGCTGGTTTGGCCAAGGGTAAATCAGGTACAACTGGGTGTGGGGCATAAATTGGTTCACAATTAAGATGTCAACCTATAAACCATTACAATCCTAGATACTGGACGAAAATGGTTGGGGTTTTATTACAGGTTTGCACCCACCAGTCTCTTCCGAACCTTTTGCTTTCACCCGTCTCATCGGCACCGAGGATGTGGGCGTCTCGGACCGGACCATGATTTGGACCCTTGGACACCCAGCGGTCGCGAGGGGAACCGCCGTGCGGTCCGTCCGGACGGGACGGGACCGGCAGAAACGGCGAGCGCTGGGACTCCGCGCGAGCTTGGAAGCCCTTTGTTGTTGTTGTTTATTTTCCCGAATGCGTAGCGAAGGGTTCTCGTTTAACTCTTGGGGGTCTGGGGGTAGAGCTTTGTTCGCGACCCGTTGCTTCTATGTTCGCAACCGTTGGCAACCGTCCGCAACCGTTCGCAGTAGAGCGCTAAGGCGCTGCCATTGGGGGAAGCTTTTGCAAGTGACTTTTCATGGATGTGTCACGTGTCAGTTTGCGACGCTATTCCATTGTGATTTGCATGAAAATGACATGTCGCGCAAGAAGCGTGATGCATTTCGCTGCACAGGCGCAGCGTTTTGTGAGATCCTCAGTTTGCTACGCAGTTCCATTGGGATTAGCATTTGGAGAGTCGTGTTTTTGGGGTGTTGGATGTGGCCGTGCCATTGGGATTTGCGTTTCAGGGTGTGGCATCGAAGCTCTGTTTTCGTGACAAGTCTCAGCTGAAATGGCGATTTTGGTGGATGGGAGTGTGCTCAGAACGGATCGAAATCATTCCAAACGTGTGGTGTGGTGCAAATTTTGTTGAAGCTCACATGAGATGATATTGTCACTTTTCGCGGCAGGCGCAGTACTTTGTGCGATTTTTGAGGCATGGAAGTGTGATTTTCGTGGCAGGCGCAGGGAATCGTGAGGTTGCGAGGTGTGACGGAGGTGACATTGCGTGGCAGGCGCAGTACTTTGTGCGCGTTAGACGTGTGGACGCGGAAAGATGCGTGGCAGGCGCAGGGAATCGTGAGGTTGTGAGTTGTGGTAGAGGTGACTGTCGTTGTCTCATTGGGATTGGCGTGTGAGCGGGTGTTGTTTGGAGGGGCTGGAATCGCGAAACTGCTTGGCAGGGCTGCGTGATGTGTGTGCTCCGATGGGTGTTTCCGCTTGACTTTTGGAGGAAGTCTCGTACGAAACGCTCGTTTTGGAGACTTTGACACGTGAGTTTTT